GGCCTTGTCACTGCTCTCAGATGCCGCCTTCATCTCACTATCGAAGTCAAGGGCGATGTAGCACAACTTCTCCTCCGTTCCCAACAACTGGAAGCATTTCCCTCCCACAACTCCATTACAACACACGGGTTGTCCTTGACATCGCGCACGATCTCACGCTCTGCCGTCGTGGTGAAGGAGTAACCACGCTCCTCAGCAGCATGGGGAGGGAGAGATGCTGATCCAACTTCGCTAGCTTGTGGGAAAGGAACCCCTGAGAGCCTGTGACTTTGGTTGCAAAATCGCTTGACCAACATCGGCTGAGACTCGGTGAGGATCTTCATCATGTACTCTGTCAGGTCACGGCCCGCCAGGTCCAGGCGCAAGATCGCGTGGGGCAAAGCATAGCCCTCATAGATTGGGACAGTATGGCTCACCCCATCACCGCTGTCCATCACCTCGGGATCCAAAGAAGCATTTCTCCAGTTTGGGAGCAAATCAACAAGAGCATTCCTTCTTCTAGGCCTACAACCCAAATACGGTTACTGTAATTATTCAAAGGAGTCGGAGAACATTGCAAACAGTTTAAAAGCCCGAGGCACAATTCCAGTGGTTCGGCCAGAGGCATAGAGGGACAGAACTGCCTGGATGGCAACATACATGGCCGGGACGTTGAAGGTCTCGAACATGATTTGTGTCATGCGCTCGCGGTTGGCCTGCAGCAAAGCGCGTTTGACTCATGGTTCTGGCTTGGGAACCCGTGTTTTGTTTTGGTTCGGTTGGAGGTTTCGGAAATGACTTCCAACCCCTCGGCCATGAACCTACTTTCCGTCAGTCAAACCAGTACTATCCCGCAGCAATGACTCCAACTTGTCTTTCCTTTTATTGATGGTTACTTCATAAAAGGTTCGCAACAGGAATATAAAAGCGCATGAACACTATCATTGAGTGTCATACCGATTCCACATCCGATGTTTGGTAAACCAAAAGCGCTTAGTGCTGCAATGCTGAAAGCCAAGCTAAAGGATCTCTACCGCTGCCCCTACCCTTTCCAAACTGTGCCTTGGGGTTCAATGGTGCTTCTGTGAGCAGAACCGGGTGCTCTTCAGGTGCCACACGGAGCTCGTTGTAGAAGGTGTGATGCCAAATCTTCTCCATGTCATCCCAATTGGTGACAATGCCTGGATGTTTGTTGGCCAGGCGACCGCTATGCAACTGTTCCCCGTCCTTTGGTTCCTGGAGGTGGTGTCCTGTGTTTTTTTTCCATTTTGTATTCCATAGTCCATAGTCATGTGATATGAGAGTTTTATTTGCCTCGTGCCTGCCTCGGTGTTATAGTTCCACTTGCGAAAACTGTGCCTGTAGATGACGAGTAATTAGTAATATTGTTGTGAAGCGCCAACCCCTCATGGTTCGACTCAGCAAAGGAATGCATATGTCACACTGAACATCCTTCCCACGGGTGCATCCATGTTATCCGATCGCACCCCCATTGCATGTTGAATTTGATGATCAACATGGACCCAGCTTTTTTAGTCACCAATGTTTGCTCATGCAAAGAACCCAGAACCAGAAAACACCAGCACAACAGAACTATCCGAGACTATCCTTCCATGCCCAGGTGCCGTGCTCAATTGGGTATTTCAAGGTCAGCACACCGCGCTTGCTCTGTGCCTCATCTCCCACGTAGCTATCCTCAGAACTGCCGAATACAGAACTTTACAATGACCAAGAAATGATTCTTGGTGCCTCTTGCACATTTGAACTCAAGATCAAAGCGGAGTTGAGACCAAATCCAAGTCTCCTTCTGGTCCATGCCAACCATGATTCCTGGCATCTTTGGTCGACCAACGATGGATGGGAAAACCGCCCGCGGAGCATCGTCACCAGCAAAACCCGCTTTGCACATGCCACTGCCGTTGTCAACGACCAATGCTGCAACCTCCTTCAAAA